AAAAAAAAAAAAAAAAAAAAAAAAAAAACAAACGACAAAAAAGGAGAAGAAAGATTCGTCTGAGCTTACATAGTTCCTCATTGGTACAATCAGTAGGCGGATGATACGCTCATTCCCATTGCATATGAAGTACCTGCATAATCGACACAATCCATTTGCCAGACAATTTCCCAACCATGGTGGTTCATTATCCAGATTGATCAAATGGTGTTGAAAAGTTTCTAGACTCTCTCAGTTAGGAAAGTAAAAATGAAAAGTTATTGGCTGCAAAAGGGTTTAAAGTTTAAACTTTAAACTTCAAATTTTTAATCACAGAAGTGCTGTCGCCTTCTACTGCTGATGATGATGGTGTTGCTCTCTGTTCCTGTTGTTTTACCTGTCACTCTTAGTGCTCCTGCTGTCGCTGCCACTTTCGTTCTTCTTCACATTGTTCTTGCTCTAACACTTCTTTCTGCTGCTCCTCCTGCCGTTGCTGTCCCTCCTGCTCTTGTTACTTTTATTGTTCTGTTGGTTGTGTTGGTTGTGCTGGTCGTCATTGTTGTCGTTGCTGTGGTTGCGGTGTTGCTTCTTGTTGCTTCTTGTTGCTTCTTGTTGCTTCTTGTTGCTTGTTGGTCCTGGTGCTGCTAGCTCTAACTCTACTTCTTTCTGCTGCCTTGCTCCTGCTCTTGTTGTTTTTTATTGTTCTGTTGGTTGTGCTTTGTCATTGTTTTCACTGTCGTCATTGTTGTCATTGTTTTCACTGTCGTCATTGTTGAGGTGGAGGTGCTGCTTGTTGTTGCTTCTTGTTGTAGTTGTGTTTCTGTTCTTGTTTTCGTATTGTGCTTGTTCACTATTTGGCGTTCCTCATTTTTGCTATCTGCATGTATGTCTGCGATTTGCAATGTTTTACGTTCAAACTTAATATACAGGACACGAGCTCAAGCTTCAAATCCTTCCTTATTCAATACAAACATGAGTGCCTAAGTTGGCCGCCTCACCCCATATTTGATCAAATAAACATGAGGGCCAAATCAGGAGAACAAAACTAAGAAACCTTAGGCCCCAAAGTGGCCAAAAAGTTGAGCAGCGAAGGCAAAAAAGGGAAAGGGCAGAATTCCCTACAGGAGGTTTAAACACAACTAAATGATTCAGTCGGAATGTCCCCGTCTGTCCAGGTCCCCAGGCGCAGATCATGCACCTACACCCTTCTCATGCCCAGGTACATTTTGACTTTGCAACTGTCCAGGTCCCCAGGCGCAGATCATGCACCTGCACCCTTCTCATGCCCAGGTACATTTTGACTTTGCACCCCCACCACCAATGTAGCAGTGAATATGTCCTGATACTCAGTTCAGTTCAGTTCATCCTCCATTCTCAGCACAACACAGTCCATCCTCACCACAATATCCTTTTTTTTTTTCCCTCCATTTTTTATTTCTACTTTCAATTGCAGTTATTTGGTTTTCCTGGTAGAACCCATCTTCTTCAGCACCTTGGCAGTGACATCTCTATCTGGCCATGATCATGGGCATGGGGTTTGTTCGCAGGGTGTGGGTGATCTGAGGGCCTTCAAACCGTTAGCAAGCATGAAATGGGACATCAGGAGGTCAAGGCATGAGATGCAATAACAGCCCATAACGGTCCCCAATGGAACGAGCTGAAGTAACAGTTTCTAACGGAACAAACTGCAATAACAGTCCTTAACAGCACCCAATGGAAGAGTCCCAATAGCATAACAACTTAACAAGCTGTGTGAACTACTAACAAGCTGTGTTACCAACGGGGCCGCCCGGGTGACCTTGGAAGTTGGAAGGTCCCTTAATAAAAAAAAAAGAAAAAAAGGCAATGAAAAATAAAAAAAAATTGAAAAACGATGAAGTCCGAAAAAAAAACTATGAAGTCCGAAAAAAAAACTATGTGTTGTGCAGAAAAATAAACTGAACAACTTTTGCCTCGGGGTCATATCGGAATTCTTTGCCAAATTCAGACAAAAATAAAAAAATAAAATGAAAAGTATTTTTTTCATTTAAAAAAAGAAAAATCAATTTTGGCCTGGGCGCGCACGTGTTCCTGGGCTTCTGTGGTAACGTAGCTAACAAGTACATAGCACATTCCATAACAGAATATTAACAGTTCTTTTTTTTTTTGGTTGTTTCTCACATACTAAAAAATATCCGAAAGGTGTTTATGGGGAGAGGTAAACTCACCCACCCATTTCCAGCGACTCCTCTTTCCTCGCCACAAGCTGCTTCTGCGTGAGGTCCCTAAGATGGCACATGCAAGACTGAGATAATGCACAGAGCGCAGAGAGCATCACGGAGAACAACACAAAGATCACATCCATATCAGATTCAGATCGGATTCAGTTCAGATTCAAATTCAGAACAGAGATCACAGGAGGAGGACAACACACACAGAGGACACAGGGCGCAAACGAAGACAGCATGCACATGACAGGTGACATGGATACTGTCAGACATGACAGAACGCACAGATACTGTCAGCCACTATCTATGTGACAGTAATATGTGACTAGCTGTGACAGTAGCTGCGACAGTATGTGTGACAGTATCTGTGACAATGTCTGTGTGACAGTATGTGTAACAGTATGTGTAACAGTATGTGTGACAGTATGTGTAACAGTATGTGTAACAGTATGTGTGACAGTATCTGGTAACAGTAAGTGTGACAGTATCTGCAATAGTGCATGACAGTATGTGTGACGGTATCTGTGACGGTGTGTGACAGTATCTGTGTGACTATCTGTGACAGTGTGACAGTAGCTGTGACATGTGTAACAGTATGTGTGACAGTATGTGTGACAGTATCTGCAATAGTACATACTGTATGTGTGACAGTATGTGTGACAGTATCTGCAATAGTGCATAACAGTATGTGTGACAGTATCTGTGATGGTGTGTGACAGTATCTGTGACGTTGTGACAGTATCTGTGTGACTATCTGTGACAGTGTGTGACAGTAGCTGTGACAGTA